GTATCTGCAAACTGAATTGCTCAATCAATAGGGACAACAATTCTTCCCTGGTAGATGTTGTGGAAATTATGGAAAACCTTTAAATTCTTTCAATGTTGTTCAATAGACTCGGAGAAGACCATACGAATGAAAGGATTAAATATTTCATTCATAATGTTTTGAAATTCGTATGGTGCATTTTTTAAACCAAATGACATAACATTCCATTCATAGTACCCAAAGGGAACATTAAAAGCTGTTTTATATCTATCTTTTTCAGCTATCTGGATTTGCCAATATCCAAACTTTAGATCAAGTTTTGAGAAGATACTTGCATTGACAAGCCTATCAAGGAGATCCCGTTTGTTTGGGATTGGATATCTTATCCATCTTAATGCTTTATTCAAAAGTTTATAATTTATAACTAATCGAGGGGCTTCTCTTTCAATTTCAAAAGCCTTCTCAACATAAAAGGCTGAGCAACTCCATAGTGAGGAGCTTTTTCGAATCAGTTTTTTAACAAGTATATCTTGAATCTCCGATTTATAGATTTCTAAAAGCCTATTATTCATTTGAATAGGCCTTGCTTTGGTTGGAATTTTTTGCTCATTACAATCTGGTTCATAAGGGAGTTCTACGATGTGTTGTTTCCTATTCCAAAAGGCATTAGGAATGTCAGCACAAATTTCATTTTCAAGGGTTGTTTTAAACTTACTAATTTCTTGCTGGATTTTTGAAGATTGTAGTTTTTCTTCAATTGTTTTATATTTGATTTCTTCTTTTAAAGAGAACATAAATTTTTCTTTAGTAGAGATTTATTTTTTATATTATTTATCTAATGTATTCTGCTTCATGTCCTTCAATATTGGCAGCAATCCCTGTGTCATCAATTTTTATTGGGTATAGCATATTTTAAAAAGGTGTTCCAAGAATAATTGGTTGACTTAATCCGTTAACCATAATAAAAGAAAAGGTAAAGCAGGCTCCATTGTTGCAAACAACAACATCAGAAAGTTTGTAATTAATTAGCATTTTGCTACCATCGGCGGTGTTCAAAACTTGGGTAGTTTTGTTCAAAACTTGGATAGTTTTGTTCACATATTTTGTAGGCACCAAACCTTCATTAATACAATTTAGATCAGCGCCATAATCAATCTGAGCAGTAGTTTGAAAAGTGTATTCCCTTTGTACTATTATGTTTACTATAGGGAACCATCTTTGGGTTATTACCTTATCAATGAGGTTTATGTATTCAAAACTCTGGATCTTGGCTTTTTCTATAATGTTACACTCCTCATCACCTTCCTTGTTATCTAAAACTT